TTATAATCATCCACTATAGAGCATCTCAGAATGACTTTGATAATTTTAGGCTCCTATTATCTCGGTTAGTATAGCTGAAGACATGTCAATTTCATTAATATTTTCAAAAGTCAGCCTTTATTTATATCAATTTCTCCACTTATTTTTATTGTCTGTTTTATTCTTTCTACTCTAACCTTCATTATTCCTCCCTTATTGATGCTTACTTTGCTTTGGTTTTCTCTTTCCCTTGCTCTATGAGTTTTAGACAGGTGATTGTTTGAGGTCATTGTTCTTTTTGAGGTAGCCTGTATCCTTCTTATTTCTGACTTTTACTTTCTCCGCATTCACGATTTTATCTTTTTACTCTTTTTTTTTCTTTCTTTTCTTTCCTTTGTTTTTGTTCAGTGTTGGGGTCAAGCCCCATGCCTCACCCACACGAGGCATGAGCTCTAACAACTGAGTTATAAAGCAAGCCCGAGTTATGTACATTTTTATTTTTGTTCACTTCAAGTTTCTCTTATGATATGACCTGTGTTCCACTGGATATCATCATGGACAGAATTTTGTCCTGTCAGCACCAAATTCATTTGTTTGTCCCCTGGGGGTACCTCAGAATGTGACTGTGTTTGGCCACAGGTTCTTTAAAGAGATCATGAAGGTAAAATGAAGTCATTCGGTTGAGCTTGGATTCTATCTCATTGGTCTCTTTCAAATCAACAGAAAGGCGTAAATAAAGCCCCTGTATTCAGTTGCTTTTAGTTACTTCCTTTGCATTGACATGAAAGATCATTGGTTTTGGAGTTTCCACAGCTAAGTAATCAGATCAGTCTACCACTGGTATTCCTGTAGATGATGTCTTTACCAGCTGGGTCACAGTGGTAATGTTTGCCTAGTTTGCTTTTCTAGGACTGGGAGACTGCTCTTGTAGACACCATCCAAGCTTCACCTGAGTTTGTGAGAGTGTCCAATGGGCGACATTTTGATGTCAAACATCCAAAACTTCAACAGTCAGATTGCAGTGACAGTTCTGTATTCAGAATGTATGACCACTGCAGAGCTATGAAGATTGATTGGGCTCATGCAGACCACTGATTACTGTGTGTCCAGTTACCTTTCCCAATTCTTAAGGAATCCACCCTCTGTGTCCCGTTCATATCCCTGGATCACATATTTCAGAATTTTCTCCATCACCATGCTTGGAAATATAGTCTTTCTGGGTTACCAAACTTGTTTTCTCAATGATCAGCATATTGCACAGTGTGAATAAACAGCCTGGTGCTGTAACGTCCTTTGAACAAAATGCATTTGAATAGCTGAGAAATAGTCAGAGCTGTGCATACAAAGAGCAATGCTTATGTGAAAATACAGAGTGTTTACAGCCATGTGGAGGACAAGAAGTGTCTCAGGAGAATGCATCTCTGTGGCAACTCCATCCTAACTGTCCAGCCCCCAGGATCATAAGAAAATTAATGTCTGTAGTTTAATTCATTCAACCACTTCACAACACCTAATCAGTAATTCAATAATTTTTTTTAAAAAATGACATTTTAAAACATTCTCAAAAGAAATATCCTGATGTAATGGATGTATTGGTGATTTCATCCAAGTTGATAAAAGAATTCTGAGCAGTTCTATACAATATCTTTTAAAAATATAATGGGAGGAAACAATTTCAATTCATTTTATAAGGTTACTGCTACATTCATATCAAAACCAAGATAATACAGCAGAAAGGAGCATCATGAATTCTA